ACCGTCGAATTGTATCAAGTGGATAAGCAAGAAATTCTGATGACGATGTAATAAATTGTGCAAAAAGAAAACGATACAATATACTTGGATTTGGATTATCTCCAAACATAAATCTTTTTCCAGCATCATAACCACCAAAATAGAATGCTCGATAGACAAAAATACCAGCTACACTAATAGCAAAACCTCGATAGAGACCTATAAAATAAAATAATAATAAATTTTAATTTTATACATTGATTTGAATTATTAACAAATATTTAACCTCGAATTCCATCAGCTTTATAAATTTTTATCATACAATCGTTCATGCCTTTAAATTGTCGTTCACTAACGGATTTTCCAATATCAACACCAAGACGTGTACGAGCAAAATCAAGTGGATAAACAAATAATAGACCAGTTGCACCAGCCATACCACCAGCAAACAGATTACCAGCAAAGAATTTATACGGATTTAAAACTGGATTATAATTAGCAAACATTCGTTGGTAACGTTCTTTAAAAGCAAAATTTAATGCTTGCTAAATAAAATAAAATACGATTTATTTATTTATTTTTATTCAATTTAAAAAGAGTAAATTACTGTTGGAAAATAACGCAAAACATTAGCCCAATTTCCACGCCAAAGTGATATAGTCCCTTCTTCTCGAATACATCGAACAAGACAATCACCAAATCCTTTATATTTTGTTCCTTGTGAAATTTTTTGATTCACATCTTGCGTTTGAAGAAGAAGTTTAACACGTTCAAGTGGTGCAACAGCTGTTTTTGAAATAGCTCCCTAGAAGAATTATTATCATAATAAAAATTAACTATAATAAAAAAATGAGTACATACAGCTAAAATATAAAAATAAATTTAGAAAATATTTTATTTTAATACAAAGAAGAAAAACAGACCTGTTCCACCAGCAAGAAAATCGATTAGAATATCTTTTGTTGTTACTTGAGCTCTTTGCGGTACACCGGTTGGACCACCCATATCGATCTAAAATAAAATATTAGAAATAATTTTGTCCTTAAATACGAACTTTCTTATTCTATTCTTTTCGTGGCCGACAACAACAACAAATTCACTGATCAAATTCCGATGCTCCTTGAAAAATACAAAAATAGATTTATGGCAGCAACCAATTAGATAGATTCGTAATGTAAACAAACGACAGAGATCGCTAACTTATGGAATTTAAACAATCATTTTAAAATCTTATGTCTTTATTTTTTTTTCAATTTATTGTTTAAACATTAATTTATAAATTGGTACTGAGAAACAAATATTTTCCTATCATACAATGTATGTAATCGAATTTTTCAAATCATCATTAACCTTTTTCCGTTCTTCTCCTTCTTCTAGGCGTACCTTGGCCGATACAACCTTTACAAAAATCAAAGCATTTAATTCACACTTTGCTTTATGTTGGTTGCACAGAACTTAATAAAATATCGATTAATAAATAGGATTATTTTCTTTGTTTAGTCTGTCACTGAAAAACATGATTTACAAAATCGATAATTTCGACAAAACATAAAATTTTTTTGTAGAATTCTTTTCTGTCAGCAGATAAGATACATATTGTGGACATGTTTGTGAAGTATCATGAAGTCTTGTGGAATTTTTGACATACATTTAACACATGGAAAATTCATTAGAAAACTAATGAAACTGTCTGGTTTTCAATAATCATATTTTAACAGAAATGTGAATTTCTAGGGTTTTGTCAATCTGTTGGAAAAATCAAGGTTCATTTGAACTTAAAAGCTTTTTAATGGAATTGTCTATTTCTATAAGAAATGTTCCATTAATTCAATATCAATGTTATGAAGAATTTTAATTCTTTTTATTTGTTCCTATCACTTGTAACAGTGCATCAACCAATAAACGGCTAGCTTTATCAGTCCATAACCAACAAGTTGTTTGATTACTCTTGTGTTCTAGATTGATTATGTCTACTCATGAGGGACTTTTTTATACGAAAATTTTTTGCCAATTGTACTATGTAGCCGTTGATTTTAATAAATAAGATCAAATATTACTATTTCACACCAATAGAAAGATAGCAGAAAATGTTGTAGAAAATACGTGTAATCTATAATCATCTAGAAATACTGACAATGTCTAGAGTCATGTTTTTAAATTTAGTAGCATTACTATAACATGTTCCGACATTAAATATATTGTAAAAAAGAATTTGCAAAAAAAGAAGGAAATGCTTTTTTTTTAATCTTTATCTAATAGGTAGTGTGGTTTGCATGATACAGAAATTTCGTGCGATTTCTAAGATTTCTCGAACGCTCATGTAGTCTCGAGGTTCCCTGGTTCCGTTTCAATATCGACGAAAATATTTATCACGTAGTAAATCGAGTATGTTTTAAAAGCTTTTCAATATCTTTGCCGATAAAGCATGATACAACATTAAATGAGACTTACAACGATCATCGCCAGATAAAAGGAGAGAACGATGTACTTACATCATACTTTTTTTGTAAACTTTGTCACATTAGAAGTCGAGTAAAATATTTATCATTGATTGACTCCTTTTTACGGATATTATTATCATCTATAGATCAAAGCGATGTTTTTAAGGAAATACATATCGAAAATGGATATGTTGTTAAAAATAGTTCTTCATATATTCATTGCTTATTTTATCATTTGAATCAAATCAAAAGGCATAGATACTATCTTGATCTAATCAACACTATCATACTAGAGAAAAAAGCACCATTTTTCAAGATGTTTTCTCCTCTTTTTTCTAATGGTTACTGCAACGATCAAAATAGTCTACACAAAGTATAATGCATTTGACCGATATGTTCATACCATTGGCATAGTGGGAAGACCAATACTCTATTTGTGTGATGATTTCATCAGTCACTTTTTTAGAACTACCATAGCTGGTAAAGGAATAAGATAAGAAGAATAGTTCATAGCAGTTCTTTAGATTGTTTACTAAGTTAATACAGAAATTGAACTTTATATTTGAATTTAGAACTAATGTTTGAATCAGAAACTGTTATCTCACAAAGAAAGTTTAGAAAAAGTGGAAGAACCCCTACATCAACTTTATTCACACCATTCGATAGTTCGAAGTTTGTTCTATCATGCATATAAAAATTAGAAAATTCTATCCAAGTTTCTAAAAATGATAATTGGCTTTCGAAAAAAAAATCTTTTTAAGAAAAAAAATTTACTATATAGTTATTTTTTCTCTCACACATCTAGCATTTTTTTTTAAAATTGCATGTTTATTTTACATCAAAGCAATTTGAGAAATCCCTCATGTGATAGAGAAAAATTTCTTTGCACGATAGTTTCCCAGGTCGAAAAGACATGATCGTAAATGGCCGTACGCTACGAAATACATGAAAAAGCGGTGATCATATACGACGCTACACGTTCAAACATGAATAAAGTATACGACAGTCATGAACAACTATTGTATACCATCGCATTCGTTCGTAGCATAGTCGTGCGTCGAGTTACACTTACTGAACAAATAGATTTTTCGTTTTGAATTCAGCACTAAATACAATGATAAGTATTTATTTTAGATTCAACCAAACAATAAATTGATCAGTGAATATTTTATTTTAAATAAAATAATTTCTATTCTATTATTTAGATCAATTTAAACAACAGAATAAATAGTATCTTTTTCAAGTGAAGAAATAATATTTCGCGTGTTTAATGGGATGGTAAACGTAAATATTTTCCTCTGAAGTGAGTGGAGGCGTACATAGATACGATATCATGCCATGTAGTATATAACCGTGTACGGTCGTAATTTATTCTGTAGACGACCGTACATAATCGTTTATAACTCTTGTAAACCACTTCCTGCGATAGTAGAAGGAGAACAAAAAATAAAAAACCAACTGCGAAAAATCAAGATGGAGAAAGCAAAAATTTCCAAGTTGCTTGCAAGGCATATGTTGCTATGGGTATTTGAAGGCTTTTGTAGTTAGTTTTTTTACTTTTTATTCTATTTCAAACTTTATTATCGTGTAGAGAATTTTTTTCTCTATTAGATAAGTTATCTCCCAAATTGTTAAGATGTAAAATAAAGATGCAATTTGAAAAAAAAAAACAAGAATTGTCAGAGAAAAGAAAGAGCAATTTTTTCTCTTCGAAAAGTAAAGATTTTCCAGATAGTTGATTATAAATCTAGAAAACTCAAATAGAATCTCCCTGTTTTTATATGAATGATAGAACAAACTTCAAACTATCGATTGATATAATTAAAATCGATGTAGGATTCTTTCTTTATTTTCAAAATTCCTTTTGCATGAAAAAAGTCTTAAGTTCAAATAACTTTTAAAGCTAGTGTCTATTCCATTTTTGATCACATACCTTGTACCCGTCAGTGCTTCAAGCATTTACTCTTTTTTTTAATGATGTTTTTTGTTAACAAGATTTTGTAAGCAATTATTGCTTTCCAACGATATTTAGTTGTACCTTCTAAATGACGGATCATAATGCTTCAATAATATAACTTTGCTTCATATGATGGATAAATTATGTTTTTACCAACGTGGTTGGAAAAGCAGGAAAATAATAATGTTAACAACAAAAAAAAACAAAATAGAGCACAATCTGTTTCATAACATGCCTTTAATTTTTTCTTGTTCTATTGAGGATGAAGCATCTCGAGATTCGTCGGTGACTTCCAGCATGTTGATGAAAGAAAGGAAAAAACCTCAGTTAAAAGGGTGCGTATATTAAATGTTGGAAAAAACCGAAAGAACAATGATGCGATTAAAAGAGTGGGAAATTCCCACTGAAAATGACATCATTCACATATATAAACGACCTGCAGTCTGTATAGCCAGACAGTATCTTATTTCTTTTTTTTTTCAGTGCTACACGAAAGTCAAATATTAGGTATGTATGCTTCATAGCTAAACTTCTTGATATACTAATTCGAATCTTAACATTATTGTTTATTATTAGTAATAAATACCGAACTTTTATTTTGTTTTCAGAATCAATTGAAAATCATGTCAAGTGTTATCAATGTATTATTTTCAACTATGAAAGGCAGCAAACATACTGCACAACTAAAAGAAGGTTATACTGTTGAAGACATTAAAAAAATAGTTCAAGAAAAATTTGGCTCTACTAACTATCGACTTATAGTTAATGGACAAGAAATACAAGACAATGATCCAGTTAAATTTACTGAATTGAAAAAATCTATTAAAAACAATACAATCATTTATGTTTGTCAACGAATGGATGGTGGTTCAGGTCTAGTTGATATTGATTCACACAAGGCTACTGTTCTCGTTGATCTTCAAGATGAATTACGTAAAATTCCAACTCAACAGACAAATTCAGAATGTATGATTTGTACAGAAGAAAAAAAGTGTATGAAATATTGCTGTAGTTCAATTATTTGCAAAGAATGTTTTCCTAATCATTTTATCTTTGGTAATTATAAAATCATTTGTCTTACTTGTAATCAAACTGTATCACCAGAAAAAGTTTTTGTTACTCCACAATTTATTCAATCACTTGTTCAATTAGATGAAACAAAATTAATGGCACGGAATATTGATTTTCAAATATGTACATGTGGTGCATTTTCTATCAACAGTACTATGTATGCAAAACAGAAATGTAATAATTGTCAACGATGGTTATGCTTTTTTTGCAATACTGATTGGAATGAAAACGAAAGAAATATGCGTAATGAAAAGTATACATGTAGAGTAAATTGTTTTTGGGAAACTAAAATTACTTATCAATTAGTTACACTTAACTTTAACAAAGCAATGAAAGTACCAAATCGGCGATGTTGTCCAAAATGTTTTGAATGTGGTTCGTATGATCAAAAATGCAAGTATCATACGTGCCCATGTGGTCATAAATTCTGTTTTATTTGTCTCAAATCACAAGAAGAATGTATTCGTGATTTCAAATCGGCATATAATCGACCATGTAGCGCGATAGCACAACAAACATTTAACATATTTCCACGTCTTTGTCATGAAGGATAATATTTCTCTGTGTTCCTTGTATATGAACAATATCTTGTGATTTTTAGACATTGCAAAAGTCATTGAATAAACGAGATTTATATTTTTATATATTCGTGCCGTTTTGTAATAAATAATATTTTTTCAGATGAACTATTATTGTGGAATGAAATCGAAAAAGCAACACAATAAACAAAAGAATTCAACCTTAGTCAAAGAATCTCAATTCAAACGTTCAGAACGCAAAAATTTGTCAACAAAGCAGTTTATTGTAAAAACAAGTCAGATAGATGAAACAGTGGTTCATGTGACGTCGAGCTCATTGAACAAAAATAATGGAACAACTAAATCATCGACATTTTTTCAACGTCTCTTTAAAAGGAAGAAATTTCCCAGTAAGTGAATACCCATTCGTAGCTCAACAAAAGCTATCTGAATATTTTGCATATACAAGTATTAGGAGAACTCTAATAAAGAAAATAAAGATCGAAACATCTTCGTCTTTTATGAGAATTAAAATTCTGTTGAAGTATAGTTTTACAGCTCGGCATCGTAGAAACTGATATAAGAATTATTATTTATGTTTGAAATGTTCCATAAAGAAAATTTTTTATAGGATGTGTTGAAGAGAATTCTCAGTCAGTTGTATCTAGATCTACTTCTGATTCAATAAAAGCCACTGAAGATGATCTCAATAGTCAAACCAATTCCAGTCCATTCCAATTCAAGAGATCACATTTGAATACAACTCCACATTTGCCATTAAAACCAAAATTACCACCCATACAAAGTATTTCATCGTCTTCCTCATCAGATCATCAAAGAGTATCAACAGATCATTCGAGTCTTCTTCCAACACGTCATACTCCAGGTGTCTGTGGCCTAAAGAACATTGGTAATACTTGCTATATGAATAGTGCTATTCAATGTTTGAATAGTATACCAGATTTAACCAAATGGATTATGCAACAACAACTATCATTATCTCACATGAATATAATCGATGTTTATATTTCTTTAGTACAATCAATGTGGTCAGGTCATCATGGATGTGTCACTCCTCGTGAATTAAAACAATATGTTAGTCGTTCATCAACCATATTTTCTGATTCCGATCAAAAGGATTCTCATGAATTCTTGAATTCTCTTCTTAATGCTATAGAAACAGTTGATTCAAATTCATTTCTTATTAATCTCTTTCGAATTCATACTCAATCAATGGCAACTTGCAACAAATGTCAACATTGTGATATTATTAATGAAACAATAACATTTCTTCCACTTTCAATTCCTGAATTCAAATTCGATGATCAAAAGAAAATTTTGTTAGAAGATCTTATCAAAGATTTTTGTCAAGAAGACGAATTAGATGGACAATATTATTGTCATAAATGTAAAATATGTCAATCAGCACGACATAAAACTATAATTATTCAACCATTACCTCGTGTTCTTATTATTCAATTGAAACGATTTCCTTACGACGGTACAAAAAGAAAGATTGATACATTTGTTCAATACAAACTTGAACATCGAAATTTATTATCAAATAATGATAGATATGAATTATATGCGGTATCTATGCATAGTGGAAATCTCGCTGGTGGACACTATACAACAATGGCACAAAATTATATAATAAATAAATGGTATCGATTTGATGATAGTTATTTCGAAGAAATTGAATCGAAAAAAGTACTTGTCCCATTTATTGCACGACAAGCTTATATCCTTATTTATTTAAAAAAGAATGATTGAGAAATTATCGATAGTTTAGTAGATATTTAATTCTATCAACTATTCATTTTAGATGGATATTATATACGAATGGAATATACAAGAATTGGCTTTGACATATCATGACAAAAAAAATAATAATGTTTGGATCAATGATATCAACGTAAACAATGTAAAATTATACGCGTTCATACGACCTTCTTCGGTCTTCTATCAGTGGAATGATTTCGGTAAGTCTATTATCTACAAGTTTTTACTTTTTGTAACATAATTTTATTGAATATAGATCTGCGCGTTCTTCGTCTATTTGAGGAACAGTTATCTAACGAACCAATAGAAGAATCTTCCGGTAATACATCAATACTACCAATGGATACAGATCCAAAACAATCATCTTGTAATTCTTCAATACCTACTGTAATGTTGCCTGTTGATTCCCTTCTCCTCATCTTTATCCGTTATCTTCAATTAATGAAGTTTATTCCATGGTCATCACCAATATCTATTTGTGATCAGTCGATTGAAATACCTGAATACAATGAAATAGATGGTTCATCCCAAATTATTTCGAAAAGAAAAAAGTTTAAAAAAAAACAGCAAAAACTATCTATTGAACCTGGTTTATGTGGTTTAACCAACATTGGTAATACATGTTTTATGAATAGTGCTATCCAATGTTTAAGTAATATACCTCAATTAACTAAATGGGCTAAAAAACAACAGTTATCAAATCATGAACAGACTGTCACTCAAGCCTATACTTCATTGATTAAATCAATATGGTCAGGTAAAAACTCATATATCTCTCCTCATGATATCAAGAAACGTGTTAGTCAACATGCTCCAATCTTTTGTGATTATGCTCAAAAAGATTCACATGAATTCATGAATTCTCTTCTTAATGCACTTCACTCTGAATTCATAGAAAATGATTCTTCAAAAGAACAATCATCTATTGTTACCAATCTTTTTTGTATTCAAACACAATCTAGAGTAACATGTTTACATTGCGGTATGTGTGATTCACTTGAAGAGATAACTTATTGTCTTCCATTACCGTTCGAAAATGAATCAACAGTAACTCTTCGAAGATTGTTAAATGATTTTTTAAAAGAAGAATTACTCGATGGACCATATTATTGTTCAAATTGTCAAGATCTTCGATCAGCTAAACAAAAAACAAATCTATGTCAACCATTACCACCAGTAATTATTGTTCAACTTAAACGATTTACTTTTGACGAGACAAATGATAAATTAAATACATTTGTTGAATATCCAATTGTCGATTGGAATGTCGATGATAGTAATAATTCATTGTATGATCTTGTCGCTGTTTCTATGCATGTTGGTAATTTACAAGGAGGACATTATACAACATATGCTCGTTTAAATGGTTTAGATCAATGGTATCATTTTAATGATTTGAATATTGAACCTGTTCATAATACGCATTGTCTTGTAAATCGAAATGCTTATGTATTGGTGTATTTGAAAAAAAATTAAATTAATAATATACATTTCTAGAAAACTAAATTTATTGATTTTTCTTCTCTATTTCAGATGTTTAATTAAATCATAATTTTATACAAAAATTTCATGTATGTCGAAAGATATTCTCTAATAAATGGAGTTTATCATCATTTTTTTTTAGAATGAACTCTCAAAAATCACCTAATGATCAATGTTTTACTTCCATATTATCACATTGGAACAATAAAGACTTCTCTCAATCACGACAATTACCATTCTCAGTAACAAACTTGTTCACACCTCCAAAAATTGTTTTCTTTCAAGTATGCAGAACACATCGAAATCGATATAATGTCAAATGTATAGATATATCAGAAGACAATACATTACTACAATTGAAAGAGGAAATCTGTAAACAATTTAATTTAAACATGAAGGTCATAGATTTCTCGCTAACAAGTTTTGATTATGGTAATGATATTTGGTTACCTATTCATGACGTGGATGGTCATAAAACAATCGCTGATCTAAACTTTCCTCCTTACACTATTTTAAACATCGAAAGGGTTGAAAAAGCAAATATAAATATACAAAATATATCGAAAACTAGACATGAGGATTTGACTTTGAAACTTTGTAAACGACCAATGAACAAAATAGATCTTGAGTATCTTTATGTAAATTCATCGATAAGTATTGGTCAACTAAAAGAAGAAGCACGAAAACGAGTCAGGAATCAAAGAACGAAAAATTTATACTTGTGGATGGAAAATGGTTGGATAAAATTTGAAACCGATCTAGACGATTTGACTTTGGCTGAAATGGAATTTGATCAATATTCAATGATAAGTTTTGAAACAGAAGATGATCTCATTCCTGGTCTATGTGGTCTAACAAATTTAGGTAATACATGTTTCATGAATAGTGCTCTTCAATGTTTAAGTAATATTCCTGAACTTACTCGGAAAATTTTGTCATTTGGTAATGAAATAAATGCACCAATTATTGGTGCCTATTCAACATTGATTAAAACAATGTGGTCAGGTGAACATGTTGTTACTATACCATCGTCTTTATTATTGAATATTTCTGAGAATTTGCCACGTTTTCGACGATATCGACAGCAAGATGCACAAGAATTTATGAACTATTTTCTACATCTAATTCATCAAGAGTTAACAAGCGAAAGAACATTAATTACTGATTTATTCTATGGTCGAATTCAATCAAGTGTTAAATGTTTAGGAGGATGTCATTCTATTGAGACCAATGAAGAAGTAATTAGTTTTCTTCCGCTACCCGTCGCAAATGATATCGATGAATATAATATTCTCTATCTTCAAAGTAATGGTAAACAAAAACTAGTTTCAGTTCGTGCTTGTGCAAGAACAATCGAAACACTCATTGAGTCGTTTATTAAACAATATGAACCAAAACTATCATCTACACAGATTCAAGCTGTTAGAATAGAGGATAATAGAATTATAGAAAAATATCCATCTTACACACTGTTGAACGATACGATCAAGCAGCAACTAGCTTTTATCGAACTTCAAAAGAAGACTGTTGAGCAGAAATATGTTGAATTTGCATTTCTCAATCATAAAACGTATAAACCATTTCGACCACCTATCTTACTCGTTTGTCCATCCTACAATTGTTACTGTTCAGATCTATCCGAACAGATCGATCAGATCCAGAATCATATCTGTTTAGTAACTAAAGCACCAACTTCTGCATGCCACCTTTATTGGATCAATGACACAGGTAAAACTCATTATTTCGATACTGAAGCGGTTAGAGACAATACTTTGCTGTTGTTCATGCATCGAATTATCCTCGAAATCGATCCTGAATGGATTGAAAAATATATAAATCAGTACAATAATCATCTGTCATCCATCAATCCATCATTAAATAGTCTATTAGTAGATTTTTTTCGTGAAGAGCCATTAAATGGTGACTACTATTGTTCGAAATGTCTTGATCTGAAAACAGCTAGACAAAAGGCAGATTTAGTTTTACCATTACCATCTGTACTAATTATACAATTAAAACGGTTCACCTACGATCTTGATTCCAGCGCAAAGATTGATACATACATTGATTTTCCACTTCGAGATCTTGATCTTGGTCAATATATTATTCAGAATAATGATGAAAAGACGAATGTATCAACATTGTATGATCTTGTAGCTGTATCTAATCATACTGGTAGTCTTGTTGCAGGACATTATATTACTTATGCAAGAAATGATCGAAATAAAAAGTGGTATTCATTTAATGACGAAACAATTCGAGAAATTATCGATGAACATGATATTGTAACAAAGAATGCTTATATTCTTGTATATATTCAACGAACTACTTTGTAAATTTATTCATTTTTATATGATATTATTTTTTGTATATAAATATTTTAAAAGCAAAATATTGAAATATTGTCCTTTCGTCATAAATATTATTTTTTGTATTTGGTGGTATTTGCTTCAGTGGCTGTGCAAAGGTTACAAGATTGGAAAGGAGTTAGGACGATGTATTGAACAATACCTCATAAAAATACCAAAAATAATCTTGCTGTTTTTACTAGGCAACAACGAATTATTAACTATTCTTGGGAAGGTGCATAACTGCTCGGTGTGTCATGACCTGCACTAGCGTTGTATTTCCTCTATTCGATCTTAATGTTTTGTGTCTGTCTCTCTCATTATTGATGATTTTTGCACTCTTTGTTCTGATAAGTTTTTTCTTATATTTTGACACTGAAGAAACCCAATTATTAAGAAAAGAAGATTATTGTATGATTGTGAATGTGTGTGAATGGTCTAGCTGTATTGGATGTGGGTATTATACTCATAGAGTATACGTTTCTACATTAAACTGATATACATTGACATTGATTATCTTATATCGAACTAGTCGAATATCTGGCCATATCAAAAGGAGTATACCCGCATACTTCCGCGGCCTCTAGTTTTCTATGCGCTTGTTAAGAAAAAAATGTGTTTTTTCTTTCATTATGATTAGGAAAAAATACCAGTCGCTCGTATAGTAATTGATGATTGCGCGTCACTTCTGTCGTTCTTTTTATTGTCGATATTTCTCATGAGGAAGAAGACTCATTTTTGTATATACATCAGAGACGAAAGAAAACAAAAAAGGACATCATGATTACATCATGCTCGAATGACAAGGATATAGGATATCAATAATTAAATGTGAATTGTAAGTGCTCACTGGATGTCAGTACACTTGGAAAATTATTCAGTTATGTCTGTTAGAAAAGATTAAATTGACTTTGTTTGACGTAAAAAAAAAACCAATAACTGCACGAATATTTCTTTCCTACGGACTGCATTTATAATCACAGTACAATCAATGGAACTCACTCTCTTAGTGATGAACAGCAATTCTCACTTTATGATATCATTCATCATACCTACTAATAAAATATTCTTCATCTATACAGAAACATTATCTCAACTAACAATATAGAAAGAAGACAGACAAGCTATTAAACTTATATTTGACTTTTGTTCAATACATAT